TATCATTGATAGCACATGCAAGTAAAATTTGCTGAAGATCATCTAACAATGGTTGCAGCAGTACATTGACAAGGAGCTCTCAGAGGTTTAGGCAGATTCAGAAGAGGATGTGGAATAAGGGATGTCAGATGGATCTTGGCTCAAAGCAGAGAATACCAGAACGATGTTTATTTATGTTGTACTGACAATTCTAAGACATAGTGGGCCATAACAAACTATGGATAGATAGCCTTGAGAAAAATGGGCATTCTAGAACACTTCATTATGTTTATGTGGAACTTGTACATGGATCAAGAGGCAGTTGTATGAACAGAACAAGGTTCTTGGTTTAAAATCAGGAAGGTAGACAAAACAATAATAATTTATAAATTATCAAGGATTCGTGGGGGATGGGTGGGAGGGAGGGGAAAATGAGGAGCTGATACCAAGGGCTCAAGCAGAAACCAAGTGTTTTGAGAATGATGATGGCAACAAATGTACAAATGTGCTTGACACAATGGATGAATATATGGATTGTGATGAGTTGAATGAGCCCCCAATAAAATGATAGGTTTTTTTTAAATCAGAAAGGTGTGAGTCAGATTTACATCCTCTCATCATACTTACACAATCTGTATGCTGAGGAAATAATCAGAGAAGCTGAATCCTATGAACAAAAATGAGGCATCAGGATCGGAAGAAGGCGTACTAACAGCCTGTGACACATTATGCTTGCTGGAAGGGAGGAGGACTGGAAGCACTTCTAATGAGGATCAAGGACTGCAACCTTCAGTGTGCGTTACAATGTAAGGAGGACCAAATTCCTCAGAACTGGACCGTCATGATAAATGGAGAGAAGCCTGAAGTCACGGATTTCATCCTGCTTAGATTCATAATAAATGCTTATGGAAGAGGCAGTCAAGAGAACAAAGACACATTGCATTGCGTCAAACTGTTGCACAAGATCTCCTTAATGTGTTGAAAAGGATGCTCCTTTGAGGACTAAGACGATCCTGACCCAGCCATGGTATTTTCAATTGCCTCATATGCATGTGCAAGCTGCATATTGAATAAGGACGATTGAAGAAGAATCCATGAATGTAAATTACTGTACTAGTGAAGAACTGTAAAAGTACCATGAAATCCTCCCCAAATAAACCAATATGTATGGGAAGAAGTACACAGCCAGGATGCTCCTTACAGGCAAGGATGGCGTGACTTCATCTCATGTACTTTTGACATATTGCCAGGGGGAGACTAGTCCCTTGAGAAGGACACATCAAGCTTGGTAAAGTATTGGGGCAGCAAAAAAGAGTAGTAACCTTGACAAGATAGACTGCCACAGGGGCTGCCACGATGGGCTCAGACACGAGAACAAGGGTGAGGGTGGCACAGGACCAGGCAGCGTTTCCTCCTGCGGTGACAAGGTCTCTACAAGCCATAACTGACTCGACGACAGCTCAGAACACCATCATCACATTTTCACTGATGTTTTGTTGTATTATCCTTTAACTTCTAGCTGGTTTCACTTTCAAAGTATATAAAGAACACATCATTTTTATATTATATTCTCTGTACTAAATTTATTATTGCATTCAGAGAATTTTCCAGATGACTACTTTATAATTAAAGTGAATAAAAATTGGAATTAACATTATAAATTCTACTTTACAATTAACATTTTATCTAGCACTAGTGTGTATCTAAAGCAAAAACCTCTCCTAATTATTACTTAAAAGTCAATATGCCACAGAAAAACTATTGATACTCTGTCGATGTCTCACAATTTAACTCCAATTTGAAAAAAAAATTTACCAACAAAATGACTGATTTTTATGCAGAAATGTTTGGACTTTTCCCACATCTTATTTACATTCCTCTATTACGTTGACAATGCAATATTTTAGGTTACTGACATATAATTCTCATATCACACAATTCAATAGTTCAATCATATTAAAGCATTGTACAATCATCATCACCATTTTAGAACATTTCCTTCTTTGTTGTCTCATACTGCAATTTTGCATGAGTACATAATGTTATCAATATTAAAAGCATTTTCAAAGATTTCAATATGGAAAAAAATTTTTAAATTTAGATCCCCAAGGTTATTAGATTTACATTAATCATCAATATATTTTGAAAATTTGAAGAAGCTCTAATTGTAGTATTACTACTACATGTAACACTAATACTGTTACCACAAAAGAACAAGGAATTAATGGTGATAAAAAGAAAGGAATTATGGCCTTTATCCTTAGAGAGTTACATTACCTCAATCTATCAAGAGTAGACTATAGGACTTCCAATGACTATACAATCATTTGGCTGAGGCATAAGCTCATAGGAATACTTAGTAGCTTTCTGCAATGGGTAATCAACATGGATTTTTCCAGATAGCTAGCTTTTTATCCTTGTGCTCCTGGGCCACTTACTTATTCAGCTAGTATGTGATTTAGGCATATCCACTGATTAACATTTTCCAAACATCTCTATATAACATCCCTTGTATTAACAGAACAGAGGCAGCTTGAAATAAACAAAAATTTCCAATGCCTCACTATATTCAAGGGGCTTCAAAAAGATAATAGAAAAATGCCATCGCCTTTAAATTCCATTTTCAAACTTTTTGAAGCCCCTCATATATAATGAAAATCTCACAACTGTGCTATGACCAGGATAAGCTATTAATTGTATTAACTAGCAGTAGGAAAAGTTTTCTTTCTAGGCATTATAATTTGCTCTAAAGACAAACAAAAGTAAAGAGTATTTGGATCATTACTTGTGTTTCTTACCAATATACAGGAACAAGTATAATCTTGCAAGGTACTCTTTCAACATTTCTAGTAGGCAGAGTAAGTCAATGAATGTACAGTTCAGCAAACAATTTAGTAGCAATAAACAGACTTGTTAATCCTTGTGATTTACCTAATAACTCGATTGGTCTTGTCATTCACACCTGACTAACAATTCTGAATTAATTCAATTTAGTTCTAGATTTATATTTTAAGAACTTGGAAATCAGCTCTACATTTTATATGCAAATATCTACTATTCAATCTAATCACTGATTTTGTTTCAAGAACTTAAAGTCAAAAACCCAACAAACTTTCCTGTTTCAACTCTGACTCTAAATTCTGTCACCTTTAAGGTTACATAGCTGTGAGATGCACTTAAATCTCCAGTGTTCAGCCACAGTCAGTCTCAGAGTTAAAAATCACAGCTTAGGCTTGTCTCTGACCTCCTCTGCTATGTTATGCTTATTGCAGGAAACTGTACAGCAGAACTCCGCTACTCAACTACATCTGTACTTCACATCATCGGATTTCGATGCAAAAGGTAGAGAAAATTTTGCATTGGAGCTGGAACAAAACATCGGAATCCGACCCAATGCATGTTGATTTTTGTAAACAAAAGCAGTTCATGTTTTGGTCACTTGGCGTTAGTTGGCATTATTAGTACACATTGTTTAAATCTTTTGCGGCTGTGTTCCAGGCATTTTGCTATAATTTTCTTAATTTTGTGGCTTTTGGTACTATTTTTAGATAAAAAACATTGGTCCTATGAAGGAGTTTTTTGAAAAGAATCATCAATATTGATGACCATTCAGTAAACCCTTTTAGAAAAGTTAAGGAAACACCTACAGCAGACCACATTAGAGAGATTTTTCTTTTTGAGAGAGCAGTCAGGTCCTAGTGAGAAAAGACAAGAAGGGAAAAAACTCCTGAAAAGTAGCTACCAGTTGATTTTATGGAAAGGAATTTCCCTTCCAAACAATACTCTCTCTCCATACCTCCTTCTCCACATCCCTGTCCATAGATCCAGATCCTCATCAATCTCAAGGTATGGGCCATACTGTAGTTGTTAATAACTTTTATTGAATGTTGTGTTTCTTATTTAAATTATATTATTTAACTCTGAATTTATTTACTTTGAAATTTCTGTGTAATGTTTTGTATAAAAAGGCAAGCTTAGGGTAAAAACTTAGTGGTCAAGAATGGCTTAATCCATTGTTATTTTTTGTGGGAAAAATTAATTGGGAATTTGACTGCATCACGTCTTGACGCTCCTTCCAGAATGGATTAGCGCCAAGGTCTGGGGTTCTACTGTATTTCCTAGGTTCCTTTATCCTCTGGATTCTCACATGAGGGACCGGTTCTCCTCCTCTAGGAGCCTCTGACTTTCTCTGGGGATCCAGCTCCAGAGGCAGCTCTACCTCTGCTTTAGTTATATCCTCTCTTCCGGATGTTCTTCTACCCCAAATATGGCAATGGGCCTCTGATGATGCTAATCAGATTTGCTTTAGTATCCTCTGTTTGATCTTTTCTCTACAGTTCTATCATTTGTATATTCTCCGTATAAAATTCCATTCATTTGAAACACCATTCTGTTTTACTTACCTGTTGACTACTATAATTCTAATAAAAATTTGAAAAAGAATTCAGAATTGCTGATATTTCTAAAAATGAACTTATGTTTTAAGTACATACATAATATATTCTAACAAAGAAAAAATAATAATTTGTATGCTTATTCCTTTATGTAAACATTTAATGAATGAATGTTATTTGGAAAGTAAAATACTAGAAACAGGATATAGAGATGAATTATAATTATAACTCAAGAAAAGCCTCCAATCTATTATCTGAGAAACTCATCTCAGAAAAGAAAGTTGAACTTTTAAAACTAGTTCTCAGTCCTTCTTACAACTAGAAACAGCAATAGCAAAATGGAAAAAATTAAAGGTTTTAAAATTTCTAAATCTAAAACAATGCCATTATTCATTTAATATTACAATTCTGTGATATTATTTATTCTAATTATCTTAATATAAAGAATTCTTTTAAAGTGTCAATTTTTGTTACACTGAAACCATGTCTTTTTAAAGAATTAAAAATGTAGTTGATATTTTACTAGAAAGTTTCTATATCAGATACGTATACTTTTCAAGCATCCTAAAAATAATATGTGAAATAAAATAATTTGGAAACAAACTACAAGTGGAAATGTTAACTTACCTCTTCAGATTTCTTCTTTAGCTGCTTTTCAAACTTTTCTTTATTTCCCTCCAATTGATTCAAATGCAAAGCAAGTTCTTCCTTACAAATTTCCAATGCTGAATCTAGCTGTCTTACCTAAATAAGCAAAACATTTTAAAAAGATAAGTAAATTATACTACTTGTGATTAAGTGCTTAATACTATACAGATTTATCTCCTAATTTTATTCACTGCTACAAATAGTTTGTACATAGTACCAGTTGGTATAAATAATGTTATAAAGGAATGAATTTACTGAAAAAAACAAATTCTTTTGTTGTAAACCAGGAAACCAGACAACACAATTCTGAGGCAGAAACAGGAGCTGAACAAGAAACGGAGGACATCTTGGAACAAGAGTACCTTCAGGGCAAAGTACTGTGAAGAAGCATGGTGACGCTTTCGGAGCTGACGGTGTCAATTAAGAGCATGCATTCACAGAAGATAAGCATTTGGGAATAAAACTGGCAAGATAAACAGGGTCCAGTTGCTAAAAACCTGTAGATCAAACTACGTAGTACACTTGCTTAAAACAGAAAGTAGTGCAGAAGTCTTACTTACACCTCCGTAAATAAGAAACAGGAGAGTCAACACAAAATGGTGGATAGGGGTCAGTGAGGCTAAGGTATAACTATTCTGAATAGACAGACATCACAGAGAAAATGAAAATATTTAATCCTGGGGGACTAAAAAAGGAGTGCTTTGCTGTGAATCAGGAAATGCATTTCAGAAAGGGGGCAACGTAATTTGAATCAAGTGTTCAAACAACTGCAAATGCTTTCTTCTACCTTAATATTAAAGGACAAATGAGCAAAAGGCAACCAGATTTATTCTCCCATAAAAATGTTAGTTCCAAGGTCACGCTGGCATACATGTTCCATATCCCATTTGTGAAGAGATAAGCTATGCCTTGCCCCGTTCTTTTCCTTATTGTAATTCTGAGCTTCACAGGAGTGGATATCCACCACCCCCCATCTTAATGCAAAAAGCATTCTAATAAATAGTCTTGAAACTTCCAAGAAATGTCAGTAAGTAGGAAAAAGTTCTCTTTCGTCAATGCTAATTTACATAATAAAATTATCCTTCTAATTCTTATTTCTAAAAAAATAAATCTTGTAAGACACCCAGATTTAGAAGACTGTCCCTCAAGCCTGAATAGAGCCTTTAAATACACACTCTCTCTCTCTCTCTGATTCTAAATGACTGCCTTTTAAAAATAATTTGTTGAGTTGGTAATAATTTTTAAGTTAACATTTGCTTTAAGTTAACATTTGTTAACATCTTCTATGTACAGTAAAATATATATATACATACATGTGACACTATCAGAATATCACTACCTAAGCACTATCAATGTAATTACTGATTAAAGCATGGATTCTAAATTAGTTACACGAGTACTGAAGAACAGGGACTTCACATTACCTCAAAAAGCCACCCCACATTTTATTTATTAATTACAAATGGAAAAAAGGTTTCCTTAAAATGTCGTGACCGGGCAATCACCATCTTAAATAAGGTGTCAAGACTGATATAGCTAATAATGAGGTATTCTGACATTGTGTGCCTCCTGATGTGAAGCTATGGGAGAGATATATTATAACCTGTAGTGTTGTTAGCCTGGACTGAAGGGAGTGGTTGAGATATGACAAAATAATTTATAAATTACCAAGGGTTCATGAGGGTGGGAAAGCAGGGAGGGAGGGGGAAAAATGAGGAGCTGATACCAAGGGCTCAAGCAGAAAGCAAATGTTTTAAGAATGATGATGGCAACAAATGTACAAATGTGCCTGACACAATGGATGGATGCATGAATCGTGATGAGTTATACGAGCCCCTAATAAAATGATTAAAGAAAAAAAACCTGAGAATAAAAAAAAAAAATAGAAAAAGTCAGTGAGTTGGAGAGCCAAATGCAGCATGTGAATGACATTCAATTCCTAGATTGGAGAAGGAAATAAAGAACAAGCGAGCTGTACTTCTCAAACTTTAATGTGCATGTACATCACCTTGATATCTCACTGAAATACAAAATCTGATTCAGAAGCAGGGCCAGCATTAATAGAGAGACCAAGAGGCATCCACTCTCAAGTCATGCATGTGCCAGTTCTTCACTCGGAGAGTTAAAGTTCTTCTATTTTTTTGTTCGAGACATCTAACTCGCCTTACATTCTGTAATTCTAACAATCTGCCAGGTGATGCTGATGCTGCTGATCCATAGACCAGAATCCAAGATAAAGCGTAGGTGCCTGCTTTTACAGCTCCCTGGGATCACCAAAGGGTGCTTTGGGAAGCACTGCTATTAACTGCATTTTGTGTACATAAGGCTATAAAAATTACTTCTTGATAATTGGGGAAATGACAGTATAAACTCTGAATAGAACACTACTATTAAATTCCTCTAGGGTCCTAATAATAATGTGGCCCTATATTAAGGTGACTAGACTTCCCGATTTTTAACAATTTTTCCCGCGTCTCGTGGCGTTTTTAAAAAGTCCCGATTTTTTGAAAGAATGCACGACAAGCTAGGGTATACGGTTTTCGGCTGCCAGGTAGCTATTTCGCCAGGACATAAGTTTTATCAATGGTGTCCCGCTTTACCAATGTTAAAATCTGGTCACCTTACCCTATATTCAAGTTTAAGAATTAAAAGTGCAAAGTGTTACTTAACCCAAGGCCTTCAAATTGATTTCAAGTCACAGAGGCATACAGGCCAGAGTAGAACTGTGTCCTACTCTCTCTAAGACTATACATGATTACAAGAGCAGACTCTCATCTTTTTCCCAAGGAGCAATAGGTGAGTTTGAACTGATGACCATGCAATCAACTTGTAATCCACTATACCACCAGGACTCCTTGTAACCTGTTACAACATCTGCAATGTCCTCCCAAATGGTTTGACAAAAGGAAAGTGTGTTTGTGTATGTATGTGCATGTGTGTGCACATGCTCGAAAGCAGAGAGAGAAATTAAATGAAGTAGGTACAAATTATCAGAGAATGCAGATGAAAAGAACAGTATTCAGTCATGCCTTATCCCATTTTTTCAGCTTTTTTGTGGGTTTAGAATTTTTCAAAGTAAAAATTAATTAAAAAGGATTAATCAGTTAAAATTAGTAATTTTTAAAATACCCACTGATGTGTTGGATATTCTTATTTGAACAAAGCACTTGTGAGTCTGAGTACACTGTATACAAACCATATACAGATAGATGGGTGAGGGAAATTAAAACAAAACCTATTATTACTCTGTAAACCAAAAGTATTCCTCAGGCACACAGCCTGGGGCAGTCAGGGAGTGCTGAAGGCCTTCTTTATCCATTTGTATTACTTACTGTTAAAGACTTTCTTGAAGAAGGAAGAAAAAAAAATCCAGAGTGGAAAACAAAACAAAAATAAGTGAGTAAATACAATCTTCTTTTTTCTTTGTTAACTTTCTTTTTTTTTAAATCATTTTATTAGGGCCTCATACAATTCTTATCGCAATCCATACATACATCAATTGTGTAAAGCACAAGTAAATACAATCTTTAAGAAGAACATTCTCAATGTTCTATTCAACAGGTAACATAATTTGTTTACTTTATGAGTTTCTTGTTATGCAGAACAGAATTTCCCACCAGCCTTTAGTTCTCATTAGAACCGGCTGCCAAGTCATAGTGTATCTTATCTCATGGTGTATCAGAGAAGCACTGTACTCCACAGACTTTTCCTTGGCTGAGTTTTTAAGTAGGCTGACCAGGGCTGTCTTCCAAGGTGCCTCCAGGTACACTCAGACCTCCAATTTTTCAGTTAGCAGCGAAGCACATTAATCATTTGTACTACCCAGGGACTCCAAGCTCTCATCAGTCACACTGTTACAAGTGATGCAGCTTTAAAATGATAGTTAAAATTCTCCTGCAGTTCCATGATGCTCACCTTCCCGACAAGATCGCTGAAGACAAAGTGGGTTCATAAACAAATGTGGTGAATAAAGCTGATGGCGCCTGGCTATCAAAAGATATAGCACCTGGGGTCTTAAAGGCTTGAAGATAAACAAGCGGCTATCTAGCTGAGAAGCAACAAAGCCCGCATGGAAGAAGCACACTAGCCTGTGTGATCATGAGATGTCAATAGGATCAGATACCAGGTATCAAAAACCCAGAACAAAAAATTGTATCATTGTGAACGAGAGGGGAGTATAGAGTGGAGACCCAAAGCCCATCTGTAGGCAACTGACTGGACATCCCCTTACACAAGGGTCACAAGGAAGAGACGAGCCAGTCAGTGCACTATAGCACTGAGGAAACTTACAACTTTCCTCTAGTTCTTTAATGCTTCCTCCCGCCACTATCATGATCCCAATTCATGATCCCTTACAAATCTGGCAAGACCAGAGCATGTACACTGGTAAAAATAATAACTTGACACACAGGGAATCCAGGACAGAAAAACCCCTCAGGACCAATAATAAGAGTAGCGATACCAGGAGGGTAAGGGTAAGGTGGGGAAGAAAAGGGAACCGATCACAATGATCTACATATAACCCCCTCCCTAGAGGACAGACAACAGAAAAGTGGGTAAAAGGAGACATCAGACAATTTAAGACATGACAAAATAATAACTTATAAATTATCAAGGGTTTGCGAGGGAGGGAAGGTGAGGGAGGGAGGGGAAAAACCAAGGGCTCAAGTAAAAAGATAATGTTTTGAGAATGATGGCAACAAATGTGTTTGACACAATGGATGCATGTATGGATTGTGATAAGAGCTGTACGAGCCCCCAATAAAATGATTTTTTTTTAAATTCTCTGGGCCATATGGCTGATCTCACCAGAGAACCAACGTCTCTCGCTGACCCATGGCCCTACAGGGGACAACACTGGAGACTCAGGGTCAGGATTGGCCCAGTCTGACCCCAGCACACAGAGGAAAAACACTAAGGGTATACGGCAAAGCAGTGGGGGAAGCAGAGCAGGTCGCTCCCGAGGGAGTGCAAAGGATAGATTTTGGGGCCAGAGCGTGGGACCCCATCGGACCCGACTGGAGGACACTCCTAGAGGTCAAAAAACAGACCTTGTTCTATTTACAGGTTTTTCTTTTTTATTCATTTATTTATTTGGTCAATGGTTTTTCTTTGTTGTTGTCATTGTGTTCTCTTTTGTCGCTTTGTCTTGCTATGCCTTGTTTTTCCTGCATATTATTATCTCTGCAGGTCTATCTAGATAAGATA